TCAGCCTCCTGAGTAGCTGGGATTACAGGCACGCACCACCATGCCCAGCTAATTTTTTGTATTTTTAGTAGAGACGGGGTTTCACCATGTTGACCAGGATGGTCTCGATCTCCTGACCTCGTGATCCACCCACATCGGCCTCCCAAAGTGCTGGGATTACAGGCTTGAGCCACCGCACCCGGCCGTAGTTTATTTTCATCTGGCACTGCAGGCTGTTGAGGTTTTACATCTTGAGCAAGAAGAACAGCCAGCATTCAATGGGGACATACTCTGAGCTAAGCACTATGCTGCTTGCTGTTTGTTCTGTCTCATTTAATCCTCACCCAACAACCCATTGAAGACCATATTATCCCTGTTTTATAAGAAACTTTGGCTCAGAGGTGTTAAATCACCTGTCCAAGATCACAGAGCCAGTGAGTAGATCTGGGAGTTGAACCAACACAGACTCCAAGCATCACATTTCTAATCCGTGTGCTAAATTAGATGCAGGTACAGGGAAGTCAGACACTTTAGCTGGCTGGCTAAAGATGCACCAAACCTTCTGATGCCACCAACTTAATCTGTGTGCATATGAAGGAGGCTTTGGCTCAACACACACATTCTTTGGAGAGAGGATCATCTACAAGATGAATGAATTCAAGTAATTACTCATTCCATTTCCATTTTTCCCATCACTGCTTTGTTCCTGCTCTGTCCCCTATACTTGTCACCACGACTGGCACAAAGGACATGCCCAAGAAATCCTTGTTGGTTGAATGAGTCATGGAGAAGAAAAGAGAATTGAAAGGAAGAAGGACCAGGGAGGGAAAGGGGATGGGTGGAAGAAAGGGAAAGAGCTAGGGACAGAGAAAGGGACAAGGGTGAAAGAAGTAACAGAAGGACGAGGCTAGGAGACAGATGGGTGGAGGAGCAACCTCACCAGGCTCTCCTCCACGATTGCCTCAAATGTACCTGTAAGAATTCCAGGGTTTGCCAGTACCATCCACCCCGGATAAATGATCTTGCCTTCAGCCTCTACTTCAGGAGCTTCTCCCCAATAGCTAAGGGCCCATTGAAGCCAACCTCTACCCCTGATCCCTTGCCCTGCACACTCTGAAGTGGGCTCTAGGCTCTGCCCTATTCTCAGAGCCTTCCTAGTTTCCTGGCCTGACCTCAGAGCTCAGTGCTACCTTCCTGCCCCACTTCCTCTTCCTGTCTCCAAGTTCCCTGGAGATGAGGCCATCCAGGCAATGACCCTAGCCAGGCCAATCCATCACACCTCTGTCAGTTTCTCCAAGGCAGAATCTTAAAGCACCAAGCCTATTTCCCAGTCCATCTTCCCAGGAGCTCCAGGGAAAGGGGGAAACTGGCACCAGCTGTTCCTGACATCTTTGCTTTGAAGATGGCACGTGAGGACAGAGGCCAGAGTCTGCAGCAGGAGTGGGGGTGACTCAACTCAGGAATGTGTCACTAGGTAGAGGTTAGCAGGGAGTCAGGCCTGTGCCACACTCTGATCAAACTTCAGTGGAACTTTCAGAGTAAACATCTCCGTTTCTCTTTCCCTAGGGGAGGAGTTTGCCCTCCAACACCCTGCCATGGGGCTGGAATGGCCCTGCCACCCCATCTGCTCAGGTTTCCAACTCCTGGGCCAGGCTTGGCTCCTCACAGCTGCGGAAAGGGCTGACGAGGTCATCTCATTCCCTACCACTTTGCAGCAGTGGGTTCTGAGTGCCAGGCGGCTCTCTGCCATTGTGTCTCCTTTAATCTCGCAGGGACCCAACAAGGCAGGTCTTACTGACCCCACTTCACAGATGCGGAAAAGGAGGCTCAGGGAGGTTAAGTGACTCGCCCGGGGTCGCAGGGCTGGGATCCCAGCCCGGTGTCTGACTCCAAAGCCGGTGCTCTT